GAGCTAAGCCAGGTGAAGTCTATATCATTCCATTTATCCTTGTCTTTTTCCTTGTAGTTGAGACTCCTCTCCGAGTGGATGTTGGAGTGTTGAAAGTGCGAGCGAGACTGCTACAGAAATACTTGTGTGATGAGCAGAAGGAGCTACAAGCTCTCTACGCCCTCCAGGCCCTTGTAGTGACCTTAGAACAGCCTGCCAGTAAGAGCCAGGCTGTAGGGATGGGTGGGGCAGAGGGACTGCCAGATAGAAGAGGGTGGTCATGGAAAGTACTCAACCCAGGAAAGGTGGGTAAAGAACAAAATGCCCTGAACAGTAGTATCTTTCAGACATGATGTGCCCACTGTGTCTGGCACAGTGCTAAAAAATGTTTGGCTTGCCGGGCGGTGGTGGCGCACGCCTTTAATCCCAGCACTCGGGAGGCAGAGGCAGGTGGATCTCTGTGAGTTTGAGGCCAGCCTGGTCTACAAAGTGAGTTCCAGGACAGCATCCAAAGCCACAGAAAAACCAAGAAGAAAAAAAAAATGTTTGGCTTACCTTGCCTTCTTATCTCATTGCCATTATGGGTTTGTATCATTTTTCCACACTGTAAGAGTTTTACAAATTGAGCACATGGCTTTGTCCAAGTGTTAAGACTTGAGTTTTACAAATTGAGCACATGGCTTTGTTCAAGTGTTAGTTAGGTAGCTGTAGTAAGGAAGTAGACCACAGTTGTGTGCTGGCCTGGAGTCAGGGTCCGTGGGAGTGTTGGAAGATTAGTCTGAGAGATGGCAGGGAAGAATTAGTTGACTGACAGATGGAGCAGGCAGGCCCTGAGTTGCAATGAAGAAATGGAAAGAGCTGTGGAAGGAAGAGTGTGGTAGTCGTGGGGGTGGTGCAGGTACTTCCAGGCCATGTAAGTAGTGGCAGGGCTTTGTTTGGGGTGGAATAAGACTTGTGGAATTGTAAGCAAAGAATTTGAGCTGAGAATGGTGCCTCACCCCATGATCCTCGCTGGCACTAGAGGCCCACCTACACTGATTAGGCCTTGTTTCATCTAACCCCCAACTGGTCATGGTAGGCACGAAGGTGGGTCTCTTGAGTTCAAGACAGCCAGGGCTACATACATCAAAACACCAAAGCAGCACTTGAAGCATAAGTTCCTTTAAAAGATTGTCAGTTAGCTGTTTCCTTGGGTTTTACAGTAGGAGAGACTGAGGCTTCTTGCTTCAAAAGGTCCTGCCTGCTGGAACTCACTTTCTCCAACATGCTTTCACAACAGGATAATGGGATTGCCTCCAGAGGAATACAACACTAGGGGAGTAGAGACACAGATAGGGCAGGGCCCTATGAACAAAAGAAAGAATTTGATGTAGGGAAGTGCTTGAAAATGCTGGATGCTACAGAGTTTGGTAGGAGCCTACCTAAAAATTAAAGACTGGATTTAAACATTGAGGTTTTAGCAAAGTACAGTATTTGATAGTGTAGGGGTCAAGTTCTGAAGTGGAAAGGACAGATAGTTGGCTGGGACAAGAAAATGGAAAAATCCTGTTTGTCTTTCGGCTTTTGTGTTTAAATTAGACACGTGTGGGGTTAAATGAGTAGGGCAGTGCAAATGAGCAATTGTATAGGGTCCTCAATGTGCATGGGTTTTCTAGCACAGATGTGGGATAAGTGAAGGATTAGCTGTGCCCACAGACAGGTGGAATGCCCAGAGGAATGTCTTGGCCTGAGAGTCTCATGATTAGTGAGCCATTATTGATTTCACCACAGAACTGGGCTCAAGTCCCTTGTGCTTCATTCACTTGCTGTAGTTTGTACAGAATGGGGTATGCAGTGTTCCGTGTTGACTAGAGACAAGGGTCAGAGACATGTGCCTGAGGAACTCTGGCAAAGAGTGTAGCACTCTAGAAGCCAGAAGAGGGTTCAAGTGTTTGTCAGGATCTGTGCCTGTTGCCTCCACTGCTGGACTCAGGGTTGAACTCAGATGTCTGGTTTCCAACTATTTTCTGAGATGCCATTTTTAAGTAGTCTGGGCTGGCCTCAAACTAGTTACATAGTTTAGGCACTTGCTTTCCATTTGAACCTCTTGCTTCTATATTCCAAGATTTTTGAACCACCATGCCTGACATTGTTCATTTCATCTCTCTCCTTTGACTCTACATGTGATGTTGCTCTTCTTATCTCTTGAGACATAGTCTCACTGTATAGAAGTAGCTGCCTCTGCCTCCTGAGTGCTGGGATTAAAGACACCACACCTGGTCTCATTTTTTTCCCTTTTCAGATAGTTTTGCCAAATAACCAGAATATTTTATCCTCGTCTGTCTGCCTCAGCTTCCTAAACATTTGGGGTTATATGCCTGTTTCTGAGGATTGCTAATGGCCAAGTAGCACATTCTTAGGCTGGTAGTCTATGTCATGAGATTAGCATTCTGTCAGGGGCCTGGCCACTCAATACCGGGATGGTAGGGCAGGGCATAGTTTTACAGTGTCTCTTTGGGAGGGACCTCTGGGTACAGACTGGTCACCTAATTGATGTCTCTGTGGCTTGCAGACCTGCTTCGGATGTTCTTTGATGCTCTGTATGATGAGGATGTGGTAAAGGAAGACGCTTTCTACAGCTGGGAAAGCAGCAAGGATCCTGCTGAGCAGCAGGGCAAGGGTGTGGCCCTTAAATCTGTCACAGCCTTCTTCAATTGGCTTCGAGAGGCTGAGGAGGAGGAGTCTGATCACAACTGATGGCGGGTGGGGCCGGGGACTTGGAGCCATGGACACGTGGATGGCCCAGCCAGCCAGCTGCCTGGACTGCAGGGGGGCGACGGTGGCAGTGGCGGCAGTGGCAGTGGGTGCCTGTAGTGCGATGTGTCTGAGCTAATAAAGTGGCTGATGAGGCAGGATGGTTTGGGGCTGCCTGGGGCCCCCCTCCAGGATGCTGCCAAGTGTCCCTCTCCTCCCCCCGGGGCACAGAGATATATATAAAGTCTTGAAATTTGGAGTGTCTTTGGGGGGAAGGGGCACTACCGCCTGCCTCTAGGGTCCTTTTTTATTTTCTGAAATCACTCTTGGGACTGCCGTCCTCGCTGCTGGGGGCATATGCCCCAGCCCCTGCACCACCCCTGCTGCTGCCTGGGCAGGGGGAAGGGGGGGGCACGGTGCCTGTAATTATTAAACATGAATTCAATTAAGTTTGTGGCCTCTTTACTGATGTGCTCCGTTGGAGGAGTGTAGATGGGTGGACATGTTCCTTTCCAGACTTGGCACTGTGTCTGTCAGTCTTGATACCTGCCTCTTTCCTAGTCACTTGATTTGGGGAGGGGGGACGTCCCAGGGAGTTGGATTTCTGGAGGGTTGGGCTTTCAGGTTTGACATGTGGGAGATTAGTGCTATAGAGCACTTTTGCCCCCACCGGATTGATCCAGGCCCTAGGTTTGAGGTCCTTATAGCTATAGGAGCTACAAAGGGGACGTCCTGTGTAAAATGACCACATGGCCTACCGGCTTCTCCCTTCAGTGTGGCACCGCAGTGGACTGGAGATACAGGCTGTTTCCAGACCTAGGCTGTTACTGAGTGGCTGTGACGTAGACTTGCCCCGCCTGTTCTGGATGGGCACAGCCCCGGGCTTACGTCACCGGCCCTGTTCCCCCTCTCTCGGGAGCGGCAGCAGACGCGCTGCTCCCACCCCCCTCCCCTTCTCACAGGCTGTCCCCTCCCCGGTGGTGACCGCGGCCCGACCCTCTGCAAGGCGATGGCCCGGGTCCCAAACACGGGCTAGCGTGCCTGGGTACCCTGCCATGGGCTGTATTGGCCCTCGGCGCCCAGCCAGTCAGGGTAAGAGGCGGAGGCCGGAGCATGGACAGGGAATCGGGCTACACGACTACCCGGTGGGGCCGTGGGTGGTAGGGGCAGTGAGGAGGGGGCTGGGATAAGGAGAGGGAGGAGCCTGCGCCCGGGAGGCGGGTCGGGCCAGATGAGCGAACCGGGAGGGGGCTAACCGACTCTTGGCTTCTTTCTATGGCCTGCCTTCCGCTGGGTTTTTCCGTGGTATGCTCACCTTCCGTCTGTATTCCTGCTGCTGAGGGTGGCTGCAGGAGCGCGCACAGCCCGGGATCCGCTGGGCAACCTGCGGCCCCCACCTTCCTGGCTGCTGACAACTAGTCTTTTGTAGCTACATGCTCCTCTGCCTACACCTGCCTACCTCTCATCTCACTGTCTTAGGATGGCTCTTTGCTGTGAAGCTGCCTCTCCCAGCTGGGTGCTGTCCTCAGGAGTCAGCCTGTAAACACTGGCCAAGAACTCACCCTACCATGGAGTTTTTGCCTAACACTTGTTCTCGGCTTCAGAACCAGCTGGTTGATTGAAAGGGACTGAAGCCCCATGTGGAGCATCTGTGAGCAAACTGATATCTCTCATGCTCACAGATCATTTTATTTCTGTTAATTAACCCCCCATCACCCTTACTCGGGGGGGGCTGTTCAAACAGGCCATCAGGTCTCATTAAAGCCGCTGACCCCTGATCAGGCCTTGGTGTCCCTGTAGACACGTGGGGTGCCCTGCTTCTGCTCCAGGCATCGGAGTTTGCCAGCCTACCTTGCTTCTATGTCAAGGAATGCATTTGGAATGGATCCTAGACTTTCCAAGCAGGTGGTCAGTCACAAAACGCATTAGTGTGGTTTATATTTGAGGTGAGGTGTTTTACAACTAAATTCTGGCTGAGATTTGTAGTCCCAGGATTAACCTCGTGGGGTACGAATTTGAGAAGTAGCAGGGTGCTATGGTTTTCCTGGTCTGCTTGGAGTTCAGGAAAGAGTTTGGCTGTCCTCAGGGCTAGCCTTGAGAGCTCTGGTTAGGTACCAGAAGGGGTCAGAGATAGCCAGTAACCTGTCTTCTTTCTGGTTGGTAGCATTTCTGGGGACCACCACCTGGCTGAGGCTCAGGGACAGAGACGTCTGCTCCAGTTAAAAGGTTAGTTATGTGCATGGCCATTTAGCGCTGTGTAAGCCAAGGATGAGCTGTAGCTCCGCAAGCCCCAGAGAACTTGGCTAGCCCCTGGCACTCCCACTTCCTCAAAGCTATGAGACAGGCAGGAGTGTTCTCCTTATGTGACTAGGCACAAGTTCCAAGTGGGGAGGGGACTGGCTCAGCATCCGGAGCCAAAACAGGAATAGAACTGGGAGCCGAGCCTGAAGCAGTTCGGGCTTTGGGTTCTCTGCATCAACACAGCCAGTATGCCTATGATTTCTGTGCTGGGCAAAATGTTTCTGTGGCAGCGTGAAGGGCCTGGAGGAAGATGGACTTGTCAGACAAGTCGCAGAGGTGAGACCAGAGACGCTGGATGTGATCTGGAAGGTGATGGGAAGCTGAGGAGGAAGGCATACCAGATACTGAGGAAAATCAGGGTGGTGGGGACCAGAATGAAGTAGGGACACGCAGATGCCAGATACTGAGGAAAATCAGGGTGGTGGGGACCAGAATGAAGTAGGGACACACAGGCTGGGGTTATTAGGAAATGACTGACAACGGTGAAAACTTAAAAAACCACGGGCTCATTGGAAAAGAATAGAGTGATAGACCAGTTGAGACTGGTGAGAGCAAAGAACCAAGAGGTGGGGGGAGACGGGAGTGGGGGACGAGACAGTGTTGGTGGGGGGAGACGGGAGTGGGGGACGAGACATTGTTGGTGGGAGAATTTCATGCCCTTTCCAAGGATTGAGAACTGGGAGGGAAGATCCAGAATTCGTTTAAACTTCATCTTACATTTGGATGGCAAAAATATTTGTAGAGAAAGGTGCTCAACGAGCAGCCATGAAAGGGCCCCAAACCAAAGATGTGGGTGGGATAGGGGGTTTCAGGGTACAGCAGAGTATGCAGTGGTCTCAGAGGGTCTGAGACCGGGGAGAGGCACTAAAAATGGCATGGCAACATGATGAAAATGGGAATCTTGGTAGAAGTGGGGATCCAGATGGAACACCGTTTCCTCTGACTCCTCAGTGGCTTCAGACCCTGCCTGGGCTGTGGAGTGGATCGAACTCCCTCGAGGTCTTTCTCTGTCTTCCTTGGGATCTGCTCGGACTCTCCGAGGCTGGAGCCGGTCCCCGCGTCCTTCTTCTGTAGACAGCCAGGACTTGCCAGAGGTGCTGGGCCTTTTCTGTGCATGTTTGTGTTGTGGGGGGGGGCGTTCACATTTAGGGTTCGTGTGATCCCTCTCCGTTCCTGCCTCACCATCCTGCTTCGGATCCTTTTCCTGCAAGCGGAGGCGCTATCCGGCAGGCCGCCCCCGCGCCGGTCTGCTCTGCTCTGCTTGGTGCCAGCGGGCTGGTTTGCTAGCGCCTTCGGTGCTGACGTCAGCGCATCCCAGGCCGTATCCCGGGAGACCCTGTTGCATGGTGATGGGTTGCCACGGAGATATACACCTTTTCTCTGGGCCAGGGCCGCAGCTGCGCGGAGCGTCGTCCCTGCATGGATGGCAGCGGCTGTGGGAAGCGAGGGGAGGGAGGGAAAGCGAGTCAGGAAACACCCGGCAGGTTCTCCTTCCCACAGGCCTGGCCAGAGGCTATCGGCGCCAGTCTGGAGGCCCTGTCAGCCAGGTACTGAAGGAGAGGGACGGATTGATGGGCCTGAGGTTAAGGGGGCAGGTGGAGGCTGCTTGTGCCAGGTGGAACCAACCATGATGGAGGAGAATTAGGTAATGCTGGGAAGGGGGTGTGAGCATCAGTTATGTTCAGCCAAGGAAAACATTTGCTGGGGCTTGTCAAGGAGCATTAAGTCAGGTACAGGATGAAGTTAGGAGCCCAGACGGATTAAACCCTGACCCTTGCTGTCTCTTGCTCCCTTGGGAGTGACACAAAGGCAGTATGGAGCCGAGTGCATGCGGGGGGGGGGGGGGGCAAAGAAAAAAGAGTAAGTCTGTTAGGAAGTAATACTTGTGGTCTTAATGATAGGGAACCGTTTTTTGTTTTTTGTTTTTGCAAGGCAAGGGTGGCCCTCGTGGCCTAAAAAAGCTGGTTCCTTTCCCTGGAGGCAGGCTGGCTGCTTGTTTACAGGGAAGGTGGGGAAGCCGGATGGTATTGGGCAGAAATGACTGCTGGACTTCAAGGAGGTCCAGGGAGAGGTAGAGCCCCTCCTATGGAATCCCGAGTAGCAGAGGGAGAGCCTAGAAAAGACATATTGTTTCTTTTTATTTTTTTAAACTTTATCCTTAATTATGTGTATGCATCCGCTTGTGTGTTTGTCCATGGAGACTAGAGGTGTTAGATCTCCTAGAGCAAGATTAGCAGGAGGTTGTGAACCACCTGATGTGGGAGCTAGGAACCAAACTTGAATCCTCTGTAAGAGCAACAAATGCTCTTAACCATGGACCATTTTTCCATCTCTCTGAAAAGTTTTTTACCCTAACACACACACACACACACACACACACACACACACACACACACACACACACATACACACACAGAACCAAAATTTTTTTTTTTTGAGACAGGGTTTCTGTGTGGCTTTGGAGGCTGTCCTGGAACTAGCTCTTGTAGACCAGGCTGGTCTCGAACTCACAGAGATTTGCCTGCCTCTACCTCAAGAGTTCTGGGATTAAAGGTGTGGGCCACCAATGCCTGGCCACAGAGCCAATTTTTAAGATTAAATTTTAGTATACAAAATAATGGTTTCCTTTTCTTTTTGGTGCTGGGGGGGGTCTTCAACACTGGGTTTTTCTGTGTAACAGTCCTAGATGTCCTGTAACTCACTCTGTAGACCAGGCTGGCCTCAAACTCAAAGATCTGCCTGCCTCTGCCTCCCAAGCGCTGGGACTAAAGGTGTGTACCACCACTGCCTGGTCAAAACAATTTTTTTTTTTTTTTTTTTTTGGTTTTTCGAGACAGGGTTTCTCTGTGGCTTTGGAGGCTGTCCTGGAACTCGCTTGGTAGTCCAGGCTGGCCTCGAACTCACAGAGATCCGCCTGCCTCTGCCTCCCGAGTGCTGGGATTAAAGGCGTGGGCCACCAACGCCCGGCCCCCAAAACAATGGTTTTAATTATGACATTTCCATGCATATGCATCTTTGTACAAAATTTGAAATGACATTTTGATTCACTGTGTTCTTGGGAAACTATACATTTATACCTTGTCTTGTTCATTCAGCCCATACATTTACTTTTTGTCAAGCACTGTTTAAACACCGGTTTCAGCAGTGATCAGAAGAGACTGAATTCCTCCGGATAAAGACCAACAAAGGAAGCCATATTTACAATTGGCAGGCTGGCTCCACTAATCGTACATTGACAGAAAGTAGTCTTAACTGGAGACTGCAGTTTGAGGAAGACCACTGTTTGAGCAGCTAGGAAAGCTCCTCTGAGGGGGTGATAGTTCAGTCAAAACTGCAAAGTTGAAAAAGCCAGCTGTGGAAAGTGCTGGAGTATGAAAGAACAGAAAAGATTCTACACAAAGACGTCTGGGCTAAAGGTTAGGGACAACGACCTGTGCTAACCTGGGAAGGGGCACTGAGGCTTAGGGGAGGTGGTAGTAGGAGCAAAAAGGGCAGGAATGGGGCCCGGGAAGGTTTGGGGTATAATCAATAAGGATTCTTGGTTGCTGGCGGTGATAGTTGTTTGTTGGCGGAAATAGGGTCTTACGTAGCTCACTCAGGTTGGCCTCAACTTGCTAGGTAGGCAAGGATGACCTTAAACCTCTGATCCTCCAGCCTTCACCTCCCAGGTGCCGGCATTATGTACCAGATACCAGATGCTAGGGATCAAACATGATGCTTCCAGAATGGTAGGCAAGCACTGTACCCTCGCAAGGTTTTAAGATCAGATCCATGCAGGCAGAGCTTAGGGGAGAATGGATGGTAGCCCTGAGATAGGGCCCCAGTGAAATGGGGAACAGCAGCTGATAAACGAAGCTGGAGAGCAAAGCCACATGCAAGGAAGAGAATGTTTGGTTTGGCTTTGGTTACGCTGAATGTGTGGTTCTGGTAGGCAGCCTAGAAAGAGCTGGGACATATATCTAATGACAGAGAGAGGAGGGGGGAGAACCTTGAGGAAGCCTTTGCCTTAGTTGTCCTCCTTCCCTCCCTCCCTCCTCCTTCCCTCCCTCCTCCCTCCTTCCTTCCCTACTTCGTTCCTTCCCTCCCTCCCTTCCTTGTTTTTTTCTTTTTGTTTGTTTTTTCTAAACAGGGTTTCCCTGCATAGCCCTGGCTGTCCTGGAACTAGCTCTTGTAGACCAGGCTGGTCTCGAACTCATAGAGATCCGCCTGCTTCTGCCTCCTGAGTGCTGGGATTAAAGGCGTGGCCACCACCGCCTGGCCTCCCCCCCCCCCCATCTTCAGAGGCTCTACTCCATGATTCTTCACTTTTTCAGCTGTCTCCTTCCCTCCTGGGAGCCAGGAAAGTGGAGGCTCAGCTGTAGTTCTGATCCCTTGGGTCTGAGTCTCTTGCTCCTAAGGAGGACAGTTCATGAACTCCGGCTTCTTAGTCTTTTCTGCGTGCAGGTAGCGACTAGGGCATATGTGCCATCTTGGCATTCGTCCAGCTCCTGCTGATAGCTCAAAATAGGCAGAAGCATGTTGGAAAGAAGGTCACTTCTGTCGGAGGGGCACTGACCTTCTGATGGTGTTGCTCAAGGTGAATGTTGGAGACACAGTCGCGATGCTGCCCAAGTCCCGGAGAGCCCTAACCATCCAAGAGATTGCTGCGCTGGCCAGATCTTCCCTGCATGGTATGCACCCCACTTCTGCTTCTCTGCCCACTTTGTCCTTCTTTCCTTCCTTCCTTCCTTCCTTCCCTCATATCTTATGGGACTGTTCCTATGTGACTATTTCCTGTGGGCATTTTCTGTTTTTTTGTTTTTGTTTTTTTTTTTTTTGAGACAGGGTTAGTCTTCCTTTCTTTCTTTTTTGGTTTTTTGAGACAGGGTTTCTCTGTATTGTTTTGGAGGCTGTCCTGGAACTTGCTTGGTAGACCAGGCTGGCCTTGAACTCACAGAGATCCGCCTGCCTCTGCCTCCCAAGTGCTGGGATTAAAGGTGTGTGCCACCAACGCCCGGCTCCTGCGGGCATTTTCTGGTATCTGCTTTTGCAAATCAATCCTAACCCAGCTGGGCAGAAAACTTGTCTCAAGAGAGAAGAGAAAAAAAGAGAAGAGAGAAGAGGAGAGATTCTTTGGGGTTGGAGACATGATTCAGCAGTTAAGAGCACTGACTGTTCTCCCAGAAGACCCAGATTCAATTCCTAGCACCCACATAGCACATGGCAGCTCACAACAGTCTGTAACTCCAGGATCCACTACCCTCACACAGACATACATGTAGGCAAAATACCAATGCACACAAAATAAAAATAAACTATTTAAAAATCAGTCCTAGGGCTGGAGAGATGGCTCAGAGGTTAAGAGCACTAACTGTTCTTCCAAAGGTCCTGAGTTCAATTTCCAGCAACCACATAGTGGCTCACATTCTACAATTCAATCTGGTGCCCTCTTCTGGCATGTAGGCAAAACACTGTATATGTAATAAATAAATCTTTAAAAAAATACTTAAAAATCAGTCCTAGCCCTCTTCCTACCCTAAGGACATGGAGAGACACTCTCTCTTTTCCCTGCAAGCTATTCCCTAGTTTTGCCCTTAACCCTTCTTCTCTTTCCCACCTTCAGGTATTTCCCAGGTGGTGAAGGACCACGTGACTAAGCCCACAGCCATGGCCCAGGGCCGTGTGGCCCACCTCATCGAATGGAAGGGCTGGAGCAAGCCCAGTGACTCACCCGCGGCGTTGGAGTCAGCCTTTTCCTCCTATTCAGACCTCAGTGAGGGCGAACAAGAAGCACGCTTTGCAGCAGGTGGGTAGCAGAAAGGGAATTAGCTCTGTGGATTTGGCTTGGAACTGCTGCCTCTGATCTCACTGGATCTGGCATGGGGGCTGGAGTTTTCCCACATGCCTCTCTCTGCCCAGAGACCTCAGGGACATCTTCTGTCTGCAAATCAAGCCTTAGTTTTAGCTGAGCTCCCGTGCCAGTGAATGCTGTGTCTCTCTGATAGGAGTGGCCGAGCAGTTTGCGATTGCAGAAGCTAAGCTCCGGGCATGGTCTTCAGTGGATGGTGACGACTCCACAGATGACTCGTATGACGAGGACTTTACTGGGGGAATCGACTCAGGTGAGGAACATTTTGTGCTGGTGCTGCCACTGGGGGTGGGCTTGCCTGGTAGGTGTGGTGATTCACTCTGAGCCTCCCAGAGCACCATAGCCTTCCAGATAGGAGGAAACAGTACCTAGGCTGACCTTGACATGCCAAGGACACTGTGGGGGAGCCAGCAGCTGGGAATGGAACAGCTAGGTCTGTTCTGTAAGTCAGTTCTGAACTGGCTCCATGGTCTCCCTATGTGTGTAGTGGGTCTTAAGTTCTTAGAGTAAAGAAACAAACCCAGAGAACCTGGAGCCTCTTTCATACCCCCTAGTACAGTCCTACTCCAGAAGGATCCGTGGTACCATTGCCTTTGCATCTCTGAGGTGGCTTTGGTTGGCTGTGGCAGGACAGAGGAGTACAGTGCTCAGCACCTCCCAGGGCAGTGATCCCAAGCAAACAGAAAGGCATGCTGGGCCTGGAATCTTCCGCAGGGGTCTGGCGTCAGCTCAGCATCTTTGTATTCCAGCCTGTGGGTCTTGCTTTGGGCCAGGGCTTGCAACCCTGGGGGCTGTGCAGCTGTGCTTAGCTTCCCCCTTCATCTGCTCTTCCTTGGACTATGTGGCCTTCTTTCCCTGCAGCTCCTGGTGTCCGGCCTCACAGGACCCTGGCCCCCAGCCCCCAACCCTTTGCATTTGAAGATCGCCTATTAGTTCCTACTCCTCTAGATAAGGTTTCCAAGGCCACACCTGCTTTAAAGGCGGCAAGAAGCTGCTGCTGTGGTCCAGAGGGGCTGACTTGAATGCTAAGGCCAAGGTGGAACTCCCAACCACCAGTATTTTCTGGTTCTGTTTGGTCTTTTTTAGAATTTGGTTTTGTTTTGTTTTTGAGAAAGGGCCTCACAATAGTTCGGGCTACTTAGTGTGTAGCCCAGGCTAACCTTGAAAGTGTATGTGGAATCTTTGAGTAAAATTTAAAAAATGCATAGCTTTTTTCTGGTGGGTACAGCCCAATGCCTAGGATGCCTTACTTAGTGGGCAGACTCGTGGGCAAGTCAGCCTCACTGCTTTGAGTAAGGAGCAACCTGTGTGGCCACATTTATTGCCTCCTCTGTTCCAAACTCTTGTTCGACACTATGAAGTAAATATTATTAGAATTTCTAATTCAGCGCTAAGGCATCAAAAATTAAGACTTGTTCAGGTTACCCGGCTCCCACTGACACACCCTGTTGACCCCTGCTCCCTCAGCTATGAAAGGGTGGGGGGGGGGGAGGTCTGCGGTCATGGGGCTTCCATATTGAATTGAAATGAGATCAGCAAAGCTGGTTTTTTTCTTCCTTTCCCAGACATGGCCGGGCCTCTGGGGCCCCACCTCCAGGACCTCTTCACAGGTCGTCGATTCTCCCGGCCTGTGCGCCAGGGCTCTGTGGAGCCCGAGAGCGACTGTTCCCAGACCGTGTCTCCAGATACCCTGTGCTCTAGTCTGTGCAGCCTGGAGGATGGGTTGCTGGGCTCCCCAGCCAGGATGACCTCCCAGATGTTGGGTGAAGAGCTGCTCCTTGCCAGACTGCCCCCGAGCCGGGAAAGTGCCTTCCGCAGCCTGGGTCCACTGGAGGCCCAGGACTCACTGTACAATTCACCGCTCACAGAATCCTGCCTTTCCCCTACCGAGGAGGAGCCTGATTCTTGCAAGGACCACCCACTGCTCTGCCCACTGCCTGGAGGCAGCTGGGAGAGGCAGCAGCAAGTCTCTGATGTGGCCTCTTCTGGGGTGGTATCCTTAGGTGAGGACGAGGTGGAGCCTGAGGACCAGTGACCCAGACATTCCGGGTGGTGGCATGTTTCCCCTGGCTGCTGCCCGGGGCAGAGCCTCTGCGGCCGAAATGTGGGCTCTGGAGCTCCGAGGGCTTCTGGGAGCACTCACTTCTCCATTGTGTTTTGCATGAAAGTGTTCGGAGAGGAGGCCGGGGTCAGACTAGGGGCGCATGTACTGCTTCCACTTTTGGGGTTGCCGGGGTTTGCCGGGGACCCCTGGGGCATGGCTACAGCTGTGGCAGACAGTGACGTTCATGTTTCTTGAATCCAAAATGCCACATTTCCTTCTGGGATGTGAACCTGAGGGGGTGGTTGTGGCCGGGCTGGAGGGTGGGATGGAGGAAACCTGCCCGCCTCCTCCGCCCGTCCCTGTACCCCTTCACCCGAGTCCGAGCGCGCGCAGTGCTTGACTGAACCGCCTCCACCCGAGGGAGGGCTCCTGCCCTGCTGGAGTCTACAGAGTGAGCCATCCCCTAAGGGCCCCTCGCCCAGCTGGGCTCCCCTGTGCTTAACCTCTCCATTGTCTCTAAACCTTTTTTCCCTGAAGACAGGGGGTTTCTGGTCTGTTCTTTGAGCCGATCTTCTCTGGGCGGCACTGGAATGATGAGAGGGTGTGTCCCCCCTTCCCTGCCCCTCCCTCCCCTCAACCCTGGCCCTTCCCCAGCATGGCAGGGTTGTGTGGGAACATCCAGAGTTCTCGGTAGGGTGGAACTGGAAAAGGACAGCCTCTGGTTGTTCGCGTGGGGAGTGCCATGTTCTTTCACAGAGGACCACAAGGGGGCCACCTGGGTAGCTGAAGGTTTGTGCTAATGAATGGACAGTCGTGAGGGAGTGGTCATCCTTGGGAAAGAGGGTGTGCTTTTCTTGGCTGAATGGAAGGCTATAGCCACAGCGTTAGGGGGCCCTGTCTCAGGCAGGGTGCTGCTGACCAGGAGGCCCCTGGCAGATGTAGATTCCTCGGAGACTGGGGTTAGTAGGTGGCTGTGGAATGAGTGTTAATAGGCTTGGGCAGGTAAGAGGATCCAAGGTGAAAACATGAGCCAACAGCACAAGTGTTCCACACATGAGTGGCTGATTAGGTGTTTATTCTATTTATTGTTTTATTAAATTAATATAAAAATCTTTGTAAATTTCTATATACATCTTGTCATTGGAGGTTCCAGTATAAATCCATTTTAGTTCTGCCCTTTTCCCGAAGCGTGGGCAAGGGCTATATGACTCCAGCTCATCCTGCCAGGGCCCTGCTGGCCCTCCAGCAGGTAGGTGTTGAGTTACATTCGGATAGGACCGCCGGGAGGCGGAGGACACACAGCCAGAGCGGACTCGGGTTCTAGCTTCTGGTTGCTGCCACTTGCAGAAGGAATGAATGCCATCCAGTGGGGTTCACTGGCACTTGTCATCACTGTCCGAAGGACTACCCTCTCGTGGGAGGCCATGGCGGGACCGAGGCCCCCAGAGCGCATGCACTTCAGTGGTCTCTGTGTCACTACTGCTGGTGGCACTATCCCGGAAACTGGCAAGGGGTGGCCTGACTTTTACACCCTGTGCTGTGACAGAGCCCTCAATAGCTTTCCGGAGCTGGAAAGGTAAGAGAGTCAGGTGTCTGCTCCCTCCTCAGTCCCCTCCCCAGCACGTTTCCTGTGGGGGTGGCTTTGGCCCTGTCACCTCACCTCCTTTAGGGTCACAATCCCAATGAGCCTGCCGATGCTGGTGACATAAGCGTGGTCCACTCCCAGCAGTGAGAAGATGGTGTGCGTCTGCAGAGCAGGGAGAGGAAACGCTGGACTTGACGAAGGGGCAGGGGGACGGGGGTGTAATAGCAGGAGCAGTGCTGGCAGGAATCGCCCTGGGAATGTCCCAGCGTCCCGCAGCTCAGAACCCAGAGCCTCGAGGCTGCTCATGTTGTTGCTTCCCAAGCCGTTAACTGTGGCTGCCCTCACATTATCAGCGGTTTGCATTTGCTGTCTTGAAAGCAGCTCCCGGAACTTCCTGGAATTTGTTATCTACTGCTCTGGGTGTACTTGTGAGCCTCTTGACAAAACAGGTGAATCACGATGTGTGGCACCAGCAGCTTCCTGACTACCTAATGCCTACGCTTTAAATATTTCCTTAGACTCATTATGGGAAGGGGCTTACAGAATTTTTCCAATTTCCTCCATTCGGGGCATGGTCACATTTATAAAGTCTCAGTGTTTGGTGGCTCTGGGGACGAAAGGCAGAGTGCCATCCATGCCGGGTAAGTCTACCACAGAACTATAGCTCCCACAGAAGTTCAATCTATTTCTTTGTGAAAGTCTCACTACTTAGCCCAGGCTGGCCTTGAAGTATTGGATTACAGGTGTGTGACACCACACCTATCTTAGAAATTCAGTTTTCTGGTGGCGCATGCCTTTAGTCCTAGCACTCAGAGATAGGCAGATCTCTGTGTTCCAAGGCCAGCCTAATCTATAGAGTGAGTTTCAGGACAGCCAGGGCTGCACAGAGAAATGCTATCTTGAAACACCAAAACCAAAAACCAAAACAAAAAAACCCACACACCACACACAAACGAAACCAACTAACCAACCAAGCAAACAAAAAAAAATGCATTTTTTGAAGAAGCCATGTTTTTTCAATACCTGTAATTGTCATGTAGCAATCTCTTGTTAAATAACGTGAACTCTACATGTTACAAATTAACTTTAATTCCCGTCTTCCCCAGGGGGATACATTTTTACTATAAGGTATGTTATTTTAACCTCTTAGCTTTTGGTCACATAATCCATCTCACCTTCTCCCAAGGAGCCTATTAAACAGTCCACTTGGACCTTTTCCTGTTCCCTTCCAATCGTAGTGACCTAGCAGGCAACGTGCTTTTACAGGCCTGTGAACAACTTGTGCCTGGCAGTTGCCAAGCTTACTGCTCTACTTCTGGGACATCTGTGCCGTTCCTTCTCCCTAGTTCTGCTATCCTCACCAGAGCTAAGACAACAGCAGGATGAGTTTTCCTACTTCCTGCCTGCCCCCTCTCCAGCTGGACTATGCCATTCCACCGCTTTCTAAAACTTGAGTAGCACCGGGGACTCTCTAGACTGGCCCATGAGATCCCTTAAGCCAACCCAGACTGGTTTGCCAGCCTGCCATTCTGCTGTGTCCAGCTTCCAGGGTTTACGTGTCTACGCGCACACACACACACACACTCTCTCCTCCCCTCTCCCTCCTTTTTTTGGTTTTCTTTTTTTTTTTAAAGCCCACCTAAGGGTGAATCTCTATTTTTTATAATTCATTTTTATTTTATGCTCATTAGTTTTTTGCTTACATTATGTCTGTGTGAGGGTGTCGGATCCCCTAGAACTGGAGTAACAGACAGTTGTGAGCTGCCATATGGGTGCTGGGAATTGAACCCAGGTCTTCTAGAAGAGCAGCCCATGTTCTTAACTACTGAGCCATCTCTCGAGATCCCCCCCCCCCCCTTTTTTTTTCTAAGACAGGGTTTCTCTGCGTAATAGCTCTGGCTGTTCTGGAACTCACTCTGTAGAGCAGGCTGGCCTTGAACTCTCAGAGATCCGCCTGCCTCTGCCTTCTGAGTGCTGGGATTAAAGGCGTGTGCTGTGCCACCACTGCCCAGTCAACGTCTCTTTTTTGAAGTCACGTCTCACACATCTCAGGATGATCTTAACTTTGCTATGTAGTTCACAAACGACTTTGACCATCCGATCCTCCCTCTCTGAGTGACAGCATTACAGGCATACACCACCGTACTCAGTTTATGTCACCCCTACTTTATAGGTAAGGAAACCCAGAAAGGCTGAGCAGCTTCTTTAACTTCTACAGCCAAGTTTATAAGCAGCAGGGGAGGGTTTGGTTTAGCCAGTCTTTTCCATCACCCTGGCACTCTGGCCTCATGTCTACCCACTGCAGCTAGCTGCCACCATGAGGCTCCTAGTCTGCTGGATTCTCACCCCCTGAAAGTACCCCTCCTGAACTTAAGTGGGTTACGGCTTTAATAAGTAGATTCTAATTTAGACTCTAATCTCTAGAATTCTAATCTTTTATGTTATCATTCCAGTTCTTTGTACTTTTGTTAGTGGTTCCTCAGCGGTTTCTTCTCTTCCTCTGGTAGTTTAAGTTTGTAACAAACACCTACTTTGTTCTTTCATTTTAATTTAATTGGACACCAGGGAGCCCATTGGAGGGCCCACATTTCTTGGGCTTGGGAACAGTGGACTGAAAAGACAGGGAAAAGGACAACGTGGCCTTCTGAAAGAATTCTGAGAGCAGGGCCAGATCTGGGCCCTGGGCCTGACTCTGCCAAACTGAAGCAGGCAAATGATTTTCTCATTGCATGACTTAGTTTCCCTGTTTTAGAATGGTTAAGACAGATTTTTGGGTTGGATTGTCTCCGGGTCCAGGCCCAGATCTGCTGCTTCCTACATGTGTGGTTTTGGGCAGTTTCTTCTTCTCTCAATGGAATCTCTCAATACCCATTGGCTAGTGTGGCTGTGAGAATTACACATGTGAAGATCTTAGCATGGTCCTTGGCACAGAGCACTCCAGTGTTCTTATCACCACTATTATGTGTCAGAAAATCAAGGCAATCATAGCTGGGGATGATGGTGTGTGCCTGAAATCTCCAGAGACCAAGGCAGGCAGACTGTCATGAGTTCAAGGCCGCCTTGGGTTATAATGAGATCTTGTCTCAGAAAAGGAAAAAGAACAGGGCATTGGTGGCACATGCCTTTAATCCCAGCACTCGGGAGGCAGAGGCAGGCAGATCTGTGAGTTCAGGGCCAGCCTGGTTTACAGAATGTGTTCCAGGACAGGCTCCAAAGCAATATAGAGAGACCCTGTCTTGAAAAAACAAAAATTAAAAAAAAAAAAAAGAGAGAGAGAGGCTGATGACTGGGAAAACGTTAGCGGTCCTGGGGAAGAAAGGCTTTAAGTACAGCTTGTATTACCTTCTGGCATCTTCCTTTTCCTTCGACACAGTACTGCGGCTCCTCACTCACTTTGATCTTTATCCAAAAGGTCCTAAGTTCCTTTATTTTTGCTTGTTTGTTTTTGTCCCCTACCTTTGCCATCATGGCCTCTGCTTGTATGTGCTATGCTGACTTTTTAGCAACAGTTTGTCTCTAAGCTAGCCACTCACGCTGAAGCCTTGGGACCATTGGCCCATACCTGCCACTTTTGCCAATGGAGGCTTACACATTAAGTCTGCTAAAAAGTGTGCTTAAAATACCCCTTGCCAGCCGGGCATTGGTGGCGCACGCCTTTAATCCCAGCACTTGGGAGGCAGAGGCAGGCGGATCTCTGTGAGTTCAAGACCAGCCTGGTCTACAGAGCTAGTTCCAGGACAGCCTCCAAAGCCACAGAGAAACCCTGTCTTGAAAAAACAAAAACAAAACAAAAACAAAAAAAACAAAACAAAAAAAAACCCAAAAAACAAAAAACCCTTGGCTGGGTATCCTGTATTTCCTGCCTTTACATGGCAGAGTTCTGGTACCCAGTGGTGCCAGCTACCCCACTGTTGGGAGCCCCTGCCTTCCTGATGTGTGTGCCACCTGCCTCCATCAATGTGTACTTATTTCCCTGCCTCCTGCCCCCTCTGCCGAGCAGCCTTTCTGAGTCTCCTCTACTGCTTTCCTTCGGCTTGCTTGAAGTCAGACTCTCTGGGGTCTGACATTCCAAGCCCCCTACTGGAGTCTCTCATCTTTGTTTATCTGTTAGCCTTAGCTGCAGTCAGCTCATCCTTCTTGACTGTTTGCTAACTTGTTTACTAGATTTTCTTATCTGGCCTGTTTCTCACCTCGGTCCCTCCCCCCCCCTTTTTTTTTCCAGTGTGGGTGTGTATCAGCCTTGTTGGGCTCTAGCAGCCTCCTGCCTAGCTCTGACCCTGGCCTGGCCTTCTGGCTTCCAACCAGTTCAAGCTGTGTCTTTGTTGCTGCTTTGGTGCAGAATTCTCTGGGCTAGGTCTGAGCAGAGGAAAAGTGATGCCTGGTTCCACCAAGGAGTAGGACAAGGCTAAGGAGTCCTGGCTCGAAGGCTCCCGTGGCCTGAAGCAGTATGTTTTAAAATCAGCATCAAGCATACCATCTCTCATGCCTTCCTCCTACACTATCATGTGAGTCCAGACCACCCTGTCCTACCTTGTGCAA